CCTCCCTCCTTTCCTCCATCCCTCCATCCCTCCCTTCCTCTCTCTCTTCTTCCAGGAAACTGATACAGCCTCCTTCATCTTTCTGGCATGAGGAAGACAGCGTGGGAACCAGGCCTTGCATGTGCTAGGCAAGCTCTCTCCCACGGAGCTGCATCCCTGCCCATGTTACTCTGTAATGATGGCTGTCATGGTCTCATTGATGTTCAGAGCCCACATCAACATGTGAATGGAAAACAAACAGATCGCAGTGAAGATATCCAACAGTTGACATAACTCATATGTTATACTCTATTTTGTTTTCTTCTCCTTAATTCCTAACATATTAACTTCTTTTAATTATAATTTATTTCCTCCCTTCCCTTCCCCATCCACTCCCATGTACACCCCCCTTCGTTCAAATTCATGGCCCCTTTTTCTTTAATTGTTATTACATATATGAGTAACATTCATGACCCACTAACTAAAGAACACAGTACCCTGAAGCACACCCCAAATTGTGGGTCTCAGTCTTCATTTGCTGGTGTGACTCTCCCGCCACTTATGCAGGTTAGCTCTAGGCTAGGGCAGTCAAACATCCTCTGGTGTGAGGAAGGGCCATCAGGACACTATTGGGGTACCCCTAACTTCTCTCTTTCTTTATGGGGCCCTCATCTCTTCCAGCTTCCAGAAGGAATTTGGCTCAGCCACTTAAAATCCAGAGGCCCTGAGAGAAGATCTTCAGGCCTCTGCCTGTCACCCACCTCAGACTCTAGGTGGCAGCAGCTTGCTTGTTAGGACTAACACCGCTGCCACCACAGAAGCCTCCGCACTGCCCTCCAAGGCTCCCTGTCTGTCTAATCTCCACCCTCTCTCTCCCAGCGACGCGAGCTAGCTGCTCCTCTGTGGGCCCGCGGGGCCAGCTCTTAGCTGCCACGCAGAGCAGCAGAGCACAGACAGCTGGGCGCCTGCTTACCTGTCCACGCTCCCTGCCTCACTGGCATACCCCCAGCCCTGGGGCACGCAGCAGACTGTTGGATGAATGGGTTTCCACTTACACCACTCCGAGGTCCAAGGCGTACAGCAAGAAGGCATTCATGCCCACGTTGACAACATTTGCTGCGATCCCAACAATAACCTGGGGCATAATGATGCCCTAAAATTCCCAAACAAATAGGAAAACGTTACTATTTTCAAAAGCTACTCGGCTAGGCTGTCAAGTGAAACTCACGATTAAATAGGTGGCGGCGGTAAAGCCATACAAGGCTAGTCGAAAAGCCAGGAATGGTGGCAAATGAGCCTTCTCCTTTGATGGAGCTTCTCACCAAGCCACCCAGAAGCCTGTGGGGGCCGTTTCAAAACCCTGTCCAGTTTCATCACAGCAACAGGGAAAAGAGGAATCGGTCTCAGGAAGAACACACAGGCTTCGGGGGTGTTGGGGCCCAGAGCCCACCACTCCTCAGAGCTGTGCCTGAGGATCTTCTCACATGCACAGCACCCAGAAACACTTGCTTCAAAGCAAGTGCGGAGAAAAATGTCCATTGCTTTGCTCAGCAGTATATGCCGTTCTGTTCTGTTTTTGTTTTTGAGACAAGGTCTCACTATGTAGTTCTGGCTACTCTTTATGTAGACCAGGTTGGCCTCGAACTCACAGAGCTCCTAGTGTTGGAGTTAAAGGCATGCACATTCCTATTGTTTATGCTGTCTACACTTCAGTCCTCAGATAAACACTTTTTTTCACCTTAAACTTCCTCTCCCAGCAATCACACAGAATGGAAGACTGTCGGAGCAGAACAATTTCCTCTGGCTTAGGGACAAGGCCTTTATGTTTAAAGGCTAGCAAACTGTCTGTAGCTAGCCTGGGACAGGACACTGGCTAAAGTGGGGTCCAGTTTCTGCCCACCCACTTCTGGCCCTCTCCTCCTTCAATCTCCCTTCTGCCTTGTGTGCGGCACGCACAGTGTCCTACCCACACTTACAAGTGGAGCTGTAGTAACCCCAGACCCTCCCCGTCAGTATCAAAATTGGGGCCAGGCCCCCAGGTCAGCTGCAAAGCCAGCAGCAAGCTGAGAGATTGGGGAAGCCTTAGATACGAAGGCCGCGCAGGGACGGCAGGAAAACTAAGAGGAACCAGACAGACGAGTCCACACGACCGCCATCTCTTCTGTACATGAAACCACAGGCGCTCCTGTTCCCAAAGTGCGTGTGTGTCTCGGAAATGAATTACAGGAAAAGGAGGTACAAATTATTACAGAAAATCGCTTTAAAACATTTACTCTACATCTCCCACAGTAGTGTGCAGTAAAAACACGAAAGAGTACCTGACTCTGTAAATACCGTGTCTGCAGCTGGAACAGGAACGCTGCCTAGAAGATGAAACAGAAAACAGGAGAGCTTACTTTGTTTCCAGTTTTGTTGTTGTTTTACATTTCTGGGGACCAAGCCCAGGACTTCACTCTCAGCATGTCTGCTGCAAGGCTAGGCCCCAGCTCAGTTTCTTTTGAATGATAATTTCATGAAATAGTGGATTTCGTTATAACATTTTCATACATGTCAAGTTCTGGAGTTGTATTATCATTATTATTATTATTATTATTATTATTAAGTTTTGGCCAAATACTATTATTAAGTATTCTGGCCAAAAAGAAAACAGGCTTCACTTGGCGTTCCCTGTACATATCACTGCCCTTTGTTCTTATTCCTCAGCCATCACTGTCCCCCCAACCCCTGCTCGCCTTCCTCCCATAGCTTCATCTTCTGTTTTGATGGCATGTACTCCACAACCATGTCTTGCTCCCCTCCCGTCTCTACAGACAGCTTTCTCCCCTCTCAGAGTGACTTTCTACTTCTGTGTCTCACACACACACACACTATACACATACACACACATACTACACAGAGATATTTAAATCTACATTCTGCACAAGGAGAAAAGATTCACTATTTGTTTCTCTGAGTCTGGCTTACTCCACTTAACTCAATGGTCTCCAGTTCGATTCATTTTCTTTCCCTTTTTATATTTATTTATCTTTATTATTGTGTGTATATGGTTTACACTCCCACATCCTCACCAGCATTTGTCGTCACTAGTTTTCTTGATAAGATCTAGTCTAGCCGCTGGGCTCACATGAAACACCAAGGCAGTGTTACTTTGTATTTCTCTGATAGCTAAAGACAGTGACTACTTTTATTTCTTCCTTTATTCAATCCATTAGCCCATTTGATTTGGGAGATTTTTAAATGTTGGTGTTCTTTGTAGAGTCTAAATATTAATCTCGTGTGGGATTGATGATTGGCAAGGACTTGCTCCCAGTCTGCACACTGCCTCTGATGACCGTTTCCCTCGCTATTCGGAGGCTTTTTAGTTCCATGTCGTCCCCTTTGTTCAGCCTCGGGATTATTTCCTTTGCTGCTGTCTGCCTTCTTAGAGAGCCCCTGCCTGTGCTGGCCCGAAGTGTTTTCCTCCAGTGCTTGCTTCCTGTTACACTTAAGGTCTGTGTTCTATCCCAAACTGATTTCAGCGCTGGGTGAGAAAGATGGGTCTATTTTGATTCTTTACATGGGACAGTTGCGTTTCTGAGACCACTCATCAGAGAGGCCACCCTCTCTCCAGTGCGTGTTCTGACACCCTTGCCAAGGATTGGATGGCTTTGCATGGAATTTTTTCTTGGTCTTCTATGCTATCTCTGTCTACTCTGGTTTTTAGGATACTTTCTTTCTGATTATGTAACATGAAAATCCAGAACACCAGATTCATCCTAAACAAATGCTGGAATGATTTGAAAGATTTACTTTCCAAAGAGCAGAAAAGAGCAGATCCTACGTGGCTGAAGCAAAAGCCCCAGTCTGGACTGTCTGGGGAGGGAGCTACAGGCCCAGTCTTTGGCAAGAAGCCTCCCAACTGCAGGTGTGAGGCAAGGCTGGACCTCCAGAAGACGGGAAGCTCGGTCCCAGAACCCTAGTGCAAGGGCTTGGGTGTGAGCATGATCCTCAGGGATAGTGTGTGCAAGGGTCTCCACCCCTGGCTCCCCAGGACCCGTATGGCGGAAGGAGAGAACTGATTCTCACATTTGTCCTCTGACCTCCACACGTGTATCATGGCATGATGAGGAGCTCCAGCTGGGTCATGCTGTTTGGGTGATGGGGAGCCTGGAAGCAGCGCAGGGTATGATTCTTGCCTGCCTTCCCACCCCTCCTATTTTGTCACAATGCTGTTCCTGACTCCTTATTCCATTGCTCCTCTTTAAAACAAAAAAACAAAAAACAAAACCTGTCTTCTATGTAGCTCAAACTGGCTCAAAATGTTCTCCCCTTCTACCTCAGCCTTCTCAATACAGACAGGGTCACAGACGGTGCCACCCTGTCCAGGAGTTCTATGGTTACTGTTGGATTGCATCAGCAGAAAACTCGCTCCCTCTTCAAAGGAATGCGGTTAGGAAACAGCTCGATGCTTGTTACGCTGCATGGTCTAAACACTGCATCACGCTCCTTAAAGAATGAAAAGCGCTCTTAGGGGTTTGTTTCTCAGGACTCAGTGTCTGGCACCTCCTCACCACAGAGACGGAGACCCTGCAGGAGGAAGTCTGAGAGGGCACCTGGTGGGGTTTCTGAGTCTCGGAGGACAATAGGTATTTAGATTTTTGCTAAAATTATTTTTTTTTCCTTCAAGAAAAATGTTGTAATGACATTGATGCCTGTTTTCATCCTGGAACTACTAAGTATGCTTTAGTACTGCTTGTGGTGAAACTATAATGCAGTTACAGAGTATATAAGGTGTAGCCTGATTTCAATAAATGGGCGGTCATCCTGATTCACCCTCAGATCATGTCAATCTCTTTCCCTCGCTGACTCCACACCTCCTCTTTGTACCTGAACCCCACTGGAGCAAAATAAATAAAATGTAATTAAAGAAAATATAAGAGGGGAACGTTTCTTTTCTTTTCTTTTTTTCTTTTGGTTTTTCAAGACAGAATTTCTCTGTGTAGAGCTGGTTGTCCTGGAACTTGCTCTGTAGACCAGGCTGGCCTCAAACTCACAGAGATCCTCCTGATCTGCCTCTTGAGTGCTGGGGTTAAAGGCGTGAGCAGCAGCCGCCGCCGCCGCCGCCGCCGCCGCCGCCACCACCACCACTGCTGCCCAGTGGAATGGGTTCTACCATGGCAGGAAGTTCGTGGTGGCAGGAGCTTGAGGCAGCTGGTCACGTTGCATCCACAGTGGAGAAGCAGGAAAGATGAATTCTTGTGCTCAGCTAGCTTTCTTCTTTTGTGCAGTCCAAGAACCCAGGAAGGGAATGGTGCCACCCATAGCGGATGTGTCTTTCAAATCAACCTAACAAAGATAACCCTCCAAAGGCATTCCTGAAACTGGTCTCCCTAGCAATTCCAGATCTCATCAAGTTGATGGTTGAGATTAACCATCACACATTATGGAATTAGCTTCAGTGGCCATCAATGGACAAACAGATAAAGAAAATGTGGCCTACATAAGACAATGGAATACTACTCTGCCATTAATATTGAAATCATGTCCTCTTTAGGAAAATGAACGGAACTTGTGCTCCTCGCTTAGGTGAAAAGCCCGACTCAGAAGGACAATTATTACATATTTCCTCTCATATGTAGAACTGAGAGGGAGGGGTTGGAACAGGGGAAGTTGAGTAGGATCACGGGAACCAGGGGACGGTAGAAGAAGGAAAGAGGGGAAAAGGGGTCCTGATCAAAGTGCATTATATACACGCATGCAAATGCCTCAATGGAAATCATTACTTCCTATCATTGTTATTGGTATTTCTATGATTATACACTAATAAAGAAACACAGCAGCTGTGAAACTTACAGGAAGAGCAGGGATGCAAATCATCACATAAATCTGGGCTATCCTGGAACAAGAAGACAGCTTTCAGCCAATAGTGAAGTGGTTTCTGGTCACCCTCCCTTCAGGTCCTGCTCAGGGGTATCTCCTAAAAGTTAAAACTAAACACCTATTGGTAAGACAATGAGTCAAAGCACCAGCAGCAGCCAAAGGCTGCTAAGTGGTCCCTTAAGTTGGGGGAAGGAACAGCAGACACTTTTCAGCGGAAAGCAATGAGGCTAGATGGCCGACAGGGACACTTGCTACAAGTTGAGCACAATGTGATGCAGAAACCTTTGGAAAGAACCAAGCCCAAGAACTGAGACTCCACTAGACTGTTAAGTTTTATAAAAACCCAACCCTAAACACAACAGTGAAGACGACTGTGCGTTGGACTCCCTGTGGGAGAAAACTGTGATGGACACAGAAGAGATAGCCCGGGGCATCGGTGTGTGCTGCCTTGGCCCTGTGTCAGTCATTCTGTGGTCATAGTCACAGCTTCCGGTCCCAAGTGCTCACATCCAGCAAGATGAGAGTCAGCTGGGAACGTCTGCCACCTACTGATGACCCGGGACTCTGAGCCGTGCTCACCTGGCGACTTCCGGGTCCTGCCCCAAGAGCAGGAGCAGGTGCTCGGTGTTCAGGAAGATGGCCCAGCACGGGAAGCAGCAGAGCAGCAAGATGAGGATGCCCCTTTGCAGTATGACCCCCACGCGCTTCAGGTTCCTGCCTCCGAAGGACTTGGAAAAACAGTGTTTCAGAAACATGGGGACCAAGGCTCCCCACTTCCAGCAGGCCCAGCAGCTCTGGCAGCCATGTTTCCGGCAGGACTGCCCAGGAGGCGGGGCAGGAGGAAGGCGATGGGGGAGGTGGGGGAGATGGCTGCCAGATCCCAGACAGCCAGCTGCTACTGTGGCATTGTATGTGTTCTAGGACAACTGTTCCCTGCTCTTGGGAACTGGGGCTGTTCACATGGAGCATAGAGGAGCGGAATGAAGCTTTAGGAAGGGGGTAGGCACAGCACAGGGGTGCAGAGGAAGGACACCCACTGCGCTGAGGTAGCCCCGATGGTTAAGGATGGCTTGTGTTCGCTTGGCGATTTTATTGAAGAAGCTCCAAGGAGACCGAGCAAAGGCTAAGTCCAGTGGGACGGAGCCCGGTGCAGAGGTGAGGACCTGGAGTGCAAAGGCCACTTTTAAGAAGCTTACAGGGGAACTCGGAGCGAGGCACAAGGAAAGCACAGCCCCTGTGCACAGCCCCTGTGCAGACCAGGCCGGAGTGCAGAACTGTCTGCCAAGCACAAGGGAACCCATTGATTTGCCTGTGCTCCTGCACCAAGACCAGACCAAACCCGACCAACAAAAGTGGAGTCCCTTTGCTAAATGACACACAAACCGAAAATTTAAGGAGGCGGAAAGATACCAAACAGACTGTTTTCCCCGCAAACAGAGGTCCCAGCCTAATAAGTCAGGCTAATAAGTTCCTCGGCTTTAAACTGTTGGATAAAAGAAAAAAATCACCCAAAGGAACCTGGTGCCACCCAGGTCCTGTTGGTTTTCCTGCTGTACCTCTCCTTGTCCCCACCTCGCAAAGCCGCTCACTGCTGTGCCAGCAGCATGAGCTGTAGCCTTCTTTTCCCCTAGCAGAGGCACAGATGAAGCCTCAGGAGAGTCACAGCTGAGTTAGCTGAGCCTTGGTCACGTGATTTAGTAACGCTCGCTATGCTGTCCATACATAAAGGGCTGCCAAACCACAGTGTGTGGTTCCCTAGGCAACTGCCAGGAACCCATGTGGGCAACTGAGGTTCTCACCTGAGACATCAGCGTGTCACAAGCTGAGGCCAAGCCGGTTCCGACTGAAATCCCAGTGACATTCACAACCTGAAAGAAAAACAAAACAAAACAAAACAAAGAAAAAAAAAAAAAAACGGGCCAAGTGCAGCAGGCTGCGGCTGCTCAGAGCAGAGGAGCCTCGGCAGCTCATTTTGGTTTTATGAGACAAGGTCTCCTTATTTAGCTATGGCTGTCCTGGAACTCTTTGTGTAGACCAGGCTGGTCTTGAACACACAGAGATCAGCTTGCCTCTTCCACCTCAGTGTCGGAATTAAAGGCGTGTGCCACCTAACTTACCCAGCCGTTTTTATTTGGTTGGGTTTTGTTTTTCTGTTGGTCTTGTCCCAGGGTCTCACTATGTAGCTCTCGCTGTCCTGGAGCTCACTACGTAGACCAGATTGGTCTCGAACTTACAGAGATCTGCCCCCTTCTGTCTCCCTACTGCTGGGATTAAAGGCCTGAGCCACTGTGCCCAACTTGGCAGCTCATTTTCAAAGAGCAAGCACACCCACACGAATGCCCAGGCTCCTGTGGTTCAGATGGCCGCATGGATCCTTGAGGATTACCAAACAAAAATGCCTTTTCTAACCTAGAGCCACAGCCACGCTATGTCCACCAGGGGAGCTTAAAGCCTTTTCACTTTTTTTTTTTTTCTTTTTGAGACAGGGTTTCTCTATATAGCCATGGCTAGCTTGGAACTTGCTCTGTAGACCAGGCTAGCCTCAAACTCACAGAAATTGCCTCTTACTAGCAAGTGCTGGGATTAAAGGCAAGTGTCACTGCACCCAGCAAGCCTAGATTTTCTTAATATAGCATGCAAGAGCTTCTGCTTTAGCAAAGGAAAGCCAGGCGCTGTGGCCAGTCCTGGGGTCCCAACACCTCGCAGGACTGAGGCAGAAGAGTCACCAGAGCCCAAGGAGAAGCTCATGACCAGTCTCAGTACCAGAGCCAACCCCACCTTCAAAACTGAAAAAATCAAATAAACACAAAGGCTTTGCTATCGTCTAAGGCCGTGTACCTCATCTGCCAGAGAATATGCATTCAAAAGTAACGGGTTAGGGTGTCAGAGAGAGAGAGAGAGAGAGAGAGAGAGAGAGAGAGAGAGAGAGAGAGAGAGAGAGAAGGGGAGGAGGGGGGAGAAGGAGAAGAAGGAGAAAATATCTATTTAAAAAGCCAGGCTTGGCAGAGAGCTCAGTGGTAATAGTGCTTGCCATGCGGACGTGAGAACTGGGTCTGGTCCCCAGAACCCCTTAAAAGCTGCATGCACGTATAGCTCCAGGACTTGGTGTGGGGTGGGTGGGTGCTGTGGAGACAAGCAGACCCTGGATCTTGCCAACCCTCCAGCCCAGCTGAACTACTGCTCTAGTTTTGATAAGAGACTTTGCCTCAAAGGAGCGAGGTGGAGAGGGGAGAGCAGGACACCCACCTTCTCCTCTGGACTCCAAAGGCCTGGGCAGGGGTGCTGTACCTGCAATCACACGCACACACACACACACCACCCAGTGTTTACTGAACATACACTATGTGCCAGGCTCTTCATGTATATGGTGTTAGGACCAGGCACTATCCTAAGTCACATGTACATAGGGTTATAGTTTCTCATTTTGGGTGGTGGCCTGGGTGACAGAAAACTTACTATATTTACCTAGGTTACTCGCTGTGACCTGAAGCTGGCTACATACCTAAGGTTTCAGTAGTCTGGTAAGGATTGGGCTTATAGCACACTCTCAAGCAGATCTCATCCACTCCCCAACTACCCAGAGATTAGCCCATAGGTTGAGGGGTAGGGCAAAGTGTGTTATTGTCCAGGCCAGCAGAGGAGAGGAAACGTGCAGTGCACTTCTTCATCTTGGGTCTCACAAGTAGCAGCTGATGTTAACTCCAGGTAAATTAACTGCCTTACTTACCAAGATTCTGACCCGGTGTTTTGACTAATGAAATGTGGTCCCCAGTGGTGTATGTGCTGAAAGTCTGGTCCTTTGTATGGTGTAATTGGGAGGTAGTGGGGCCTTCAAGAAATGACATTTAGTGAGGGGTGATTAAGTCGCTGGGATGCCGGCCTCGGATGGGGCTAGTAAGTTCTCACAGAGGGCAGAAGATGCAGCTCAGTGGGAAAGTGCTATCCTAGGGTGAGAATCCAGCACTGCATGAGCTGGGCATGGTGGCACGTGCCTGTAACCCCAGGCAGAGAGGCACAGCGAGTTTGAGGTCAGGCTGGGCTTCATGAGACCATCTCAAAAAACTCAAGTTCTCCTGGGACCTAATTTGTTCCTGGAAGAATGAATTGTAAGGAGAGAGAGTCAGATGCCAGACTCGCTCTTGCTATGTGACTGCTTGCTCCTCTCATAAGCCCTGATGCCATCCACATGTGGTGATGAGGCCCCCACCGGAGCTCAGCAGAAGCTGGTGCCAGGCTCCTAAATGTCCTAAAGTGTGAGCTAAAGAAATCTTTCTCTATAAAGTACCCAATGCTTTGAGATGTAGGAAGGGACCAAGATAACCTGGGAATCTACACCTCCCAGCCCCAAGAGGTCAATAGCAGGCCACATGTGTGGTGTCCTAAAATTACCCTACCAGACATGAAATCCAGGCACAGTGAGGACCCAGATGTGAGGTATACACTTCTACTGAACCAATCAAGGAAAAGAAAAGGGGGAGGTATCTCACTTTATAAAAAGTTTTGGTTTTGGGGGGGGGCTTTTTTTTCTGAGACAGGGTTTCTCTGTGTAGTTTTGGTGCCTGTCCTGGAACTCACTCTTTAGCCCAGGCTGGCCTCGAACTCACAGAGATCTGCCTGGCTCTGTCTCCCAAGTGCTGGGATTAAAGGCATGTGCCACCACCACCCGGCTAAAAGTTTTGTTTTTTTAAGTCACACATGAGAGTGTCTTTGTTCTGCTGTGTTTGGTTGTTGTTGTTGTTGCTGCTGTTGCTGTTGCACACTACCCGCCTTTGGCTGGCTTAGAATGCCAGCCATCCTCTATAGGCCACGTTTGTTCAAATCTCTACCAGACTGAGCTCTCTCTTACCATGGACAACATTCTAATAAAAGACAAGACAAAAATTAGTAGGCCTGTAATTCTGACTGAGGCAAGAACATTGAGAGTTGAAGGCCAGCCTGGGTTACTGAGCAAGACCCTGTCTCAAAAACAAAATTTATAAAACTTAACCTATCTAATCACGGTGCCATCAAGTCCACCGTCTTCCCAAAAGTTAGTTACAAGTTAACATCCATTGAAAGCAACATATTTCCTTGACCCATTTACAAAGGCTGACAGTGGCTCTCTCTATTCAGGACCTTATCTGCAGAAAGGCCTGCCTGTGGAACACACCAGCCTTCCCACATACCACCACCAAGCCTCCCATCTCACTGTGGCTTGCATTTATTCCTGTTGTTTTTACATCGAAAACTCTAGAGGCATAAATGGGACAAGGAAAGGAAATGGGGGGGGGGACAGCATACACACACACACACACACACACACACACACACACACACACACAATTTTAATTTGGTTTTTCTCCAAAAAGATATATCTTAAAATGATTTTAATGTAAGAAAGAAAAGCCTCATGGTGTGATGCAGACACATAACTTTGAGGCTTGAAATCCTCACCAAAGTGCAGGACGGAAAAGCCCAGCCAGAAGAGGCTGCCAGACAAAGAAAAAGACAAGGAGATGCCGGGTGAGCTCAGGCAGGCCAGCACATCTGTCTGACTCCAAAACATCTGGGTGACCCAGATCTGTGGCAAGACTCAAGTTTCACAAAATAAGGCGCTCACTCCTCCCCAACTTGAGAGAATGCAAAGGCAGGAAACACCAGCACCAAGTGACCAGAGCCAAGACCTCAGCCTTCCTGGGGGACACCGGAAAGGACTCTGCCTTCAGAATGAAGGAGTCACAGCCTCGGGAAGAAAGACTGAAGCCTTCACAGAAGAGTACTATGGGAAGCAGAAGAAATGCAGAGAGGCTCTAAGGCACGTGGGCTGCTGATGGACAGAGGTGAGGGGCGTGACAGAGTGCAAAGGTAAGGCTGGGAGTTTTGTCCTCACCACTACCAAGAAAACTCCAGCATTGCCTGGGAGATGCGGCTGCAGCATGCTCTGGTTTGGCTTCACCTCTGGTCTCCTGCTGGTCCACCTGGCAAACCACCACAAGAACTGAAGCCCATGTCAAGGATGGAGATACTGACTTGAGAGACACAGACAGGCGACGTTTAAAACGGAAAGAGGAGGGCTGGGGGTATTATCTCTGTAATAGAGTGCTTGCCTGGCATGTGCAAGGTCCTGGGTTCAACTGCTCACTGTGGCATTAGTTAACAACTAATTTAAATGAAATAAAAAGGGGAAAAGCAGATGAAATAAAAAGAAAGAAGAGTGCAGCTATCAGAGGCCATAGCCAAGCCGAGGGTGAGAAGAAACACTGTGGGCAGTTCCTGGGGGTGACAGCCTGAAGGATGGACAGATTGGGGGTGACATGGTGGCGAACACAAAGGTGAACACTCCTGACAACCGTGGGCAGAGTCCAGTGATGTCTTAGTCAGGGTTTCTATTGCTGCCTCGAAACGCCGTGACCAAAGAGCAAGTCGGGGAGGAAAGGGTTTATTTGTCTTACACTTCAGCATTGCTGTTCATCACAGAAGGAAGTCAGGACAGGAACTCAAAACAGGGCAGGATCCTGGAGGGGGGAGCTGATGCAGAGCCATGGAGGGGTGCTGCTTACTGGCTTGCTTCCTCTGGCTTGCTCAGCCCACCTTCTTATAGAACCCAGGACCAGCAGCCCAGGGATGGCACCATTGACCATGGGCTGGGCCCTCCCCCACTGATCACCAAATGAGAAAATGCCTTACAGCTGGATCTCAAGGAGACATTTCCTCAACTGAGGATCCTTCCTCTGATGACTCTAGCTTGTGTCAAGTTGACACACAAAACCAGCCAGTTGAGGTGAATTGGCAGAGTCCATGGGAGAGTGGAGAGCAGACGGAAGCAGGTGAGGCTGAGTGTAGACTCTGGCCAAGAGAGAAGGGGAAGAGAAGCCAGAGGTGGTGGGATTTGCTCATAGAAAACCCTTGATGTATTTACAAGGAGTGGGGATAAGCAAAGAGGAGGGGCTTGGAGGGAAAAGAAGGTCCCAGAGTGTGGGGGATGGGGAATGCTGGATCAGATGCCCAAAGGACCTGATACGTGTAATGGGAGGTGAGAGGAAGGAGGGGAGAGGAAGAAGAGGAGAGGAAGGAGGGGAGAGGAAGGAGGGGAGGGGAGGGTGAGCTGCCTGTTTAGTGTTGGGGCAGGAACCCAGCAGGGCCACAGGTGCTGTAGAAGGTTGGGGCATCCTGGTGTAAGGACTCCATGGGTCAAGAGCAGGCAGGATGGGGTGAGGACCTGATAGAGCTGAAGGTGTACAGGCTGAGGAGAGCCTAGAAACATGGGGCCAAGCATTTGTTCCTACTGTAAGGAGACTGCAGGAGAGGCAGGGGGCCTAGAAATCAGTGAGGGGGATGAGCAGGAGTCAAGCCACACCCCCAAAGATGACAGCAAAAGGTGTGAGAGAAAAGAGGCCCCCAGAGGCTGAGGAGGCTGACTGGATGTGAGGAAAAGCACAGAATGGGATGAGATGCCCAAAAGGGAGCTTCCTGGCTGGGACACCAGGGTTAGGAAAACATCAGGTCTCTAATGGCCACCCTATCAACACATTCATAATCCTAGGTGACCAGGACACTGTGAACAGTGCCCAATACTGTGCAGTGGCCAAGCTCGTCTTCCCTGGAGAAGACACTCACACACAGAGGGAGAGAGAGAGAGAGAGAGAGAGAGAGAGAGAGAGAGAGAGAGAGAGAGAGAGAGAGA